TATCAAACAACATAATGCTTAAGGACATGCACATCAACAGCTGTTCAGATGATCAGAGTCGACGCGGTTGCAGCTGTAGAGCTGACCATAAAAGTTGACAATAGCAGCTGTATAGCTGAACCATAGCAACCGTAAAGCTGCGTGAATAGTGTTGCTGGTATAGAAGCAGGTGTTCGGGGGTTGCTGACCGAATTGGTGAGAGCTGTTTGCTACGTTAACCAAGGACTTGCATGATGGTCGGTGACTACCTGAAATTGGGACTGCCTGATTGACCAGTGTGACTGGTAGCCATATTTTAAGGGATACAGGAGCTTCTTGGAGTCTTTTAGTTTTATGTATTTTGCCTTCTTCTGAGAAGACTTGTTCTAATGAGAGTGTTCTCATTCATGGAGTAGAGTGCGGCTTTGTTAATGTTCCTCTCCAATCTGTTAATTTATCATCAGGCTTAGTTTAAGGACATGTGACCGTCGGTGTAGTGTTTACTCTTCCCTTTGAGGGCGTTCATTCGTTGGTAGGCAATAACTTAGCTGGAGATAAGATTGTGGTTAATCCACTTGTAACTGACAAGCCTCCTTTGGATCAGAAAGTTCATCTTATTGAAAAGAAATCCCTAATTTATTCCCAACTTGCGCAGTTACCAGAGCAATGGCAAAGAAAGCTCTTGAGAATGACATTGATAAGGACTGTGTTCTTTTAGCTGACATATGTATTAGTCAGGCTTTTGATGAAGTGACTGTCAATTCTAATTTGGATCAGTAGATAGGTATTGATCACAGTGATCCTCTTTTGAATACTCATCCTCTTTTATCAGGGTGTTAAACGACAATCACTTGTCGTTGAACAGGAGAATGATCCTGAGATCTCCTGTTTGTTTCAGCGAGCCGTTAATGAAACAGAAGCAACTGAAGTACATGTATGTTATTACATTAAAAATGGAGTTCATATGAGACAATGGAGACCTCTTGAGGTACCTGTTAGTGACGAATGGTCAGTAAAATATCAAATTATGGTTACGAAACATTACAGACAGAAAATACTTTGTCAAAATAAACACCTCTGTCTGATCATTTAGGGATCAGTAACACGTATCACAAGATCTTGACTCACTTGTATTGGCCAAAAATCAGAAGTTATGTTTGCAAGTTTTGTAGATCTTGTCATACGTGTCAAACTGTGAACAAATCAAATCAAAAGATACTTAAAGCTCATTTAAAACCAATACCTTCATTTGATAAACCATTCAGTAGAATTATGGTAGATTGTCTCGGTCCCTTACCAAAGACCAAGTCAGGTAATCAATATTTGTTAACCATAATGTGTGTGTCAACAAGATTCCCAGAGTCAATTTCTCTGAGGAATATCAAAACTAAAACTATTGTAAACGCTTTATTAAAGTTCTTTACTCAATTTGGCCTACCCAAATTTGTCCAATCTGATCAATGGTCAAATTTTATGTCTGGAATTTTGCAACAAGCAATACATGAATTGGGCATTCAACAGTTGAATCTTCTGTCAATCATCCTGAAAGCCAAGGTGCTTTAGAACGATTTCACCAAACCTTGAAACATATGATGAGATCGTAATGCTTTGACACAGGTAAAGACTGGGATGAAGGTATACATTTACTTTTGTTTGTAGTTAGAGGTCCGTTCAGGAGTCTCTTGTGTTCAGTCCTTTTAAATTGGATTTTGGCCACACTGTGCGTGAACCATTAAAGTTATTGAAACAGAAACTTCTTTCAAATGAAGAATCAGAACTTAATTTTCTTGATTATTTTTCTGATTTCAAATCTAAATTGTCAAAGGCTTGTGAGGTTGCAAGAGCAAATGTGCACTACTCAATCAAAAATGAAGTTAAGATATAATAAAAAGTCAAGAGATATGACATATAAGTCTAGTGATAGAGTCATGGCTCTCTTGCCCATTCCACAGAATCCTCTCCAGGCAAAATATTATGCTCTATACACGGTTGAAAAGAAAACAAGTGACTTAAATTACATTACAAATACTCCTGATAGACGTAACCCAACCAATTTTCAAAGGTGTATCTTGAACGAAATAGCCAGGACAATCATGTAATTACTTTAGTTATAACTGTCCCAACAAAGGAAGATTCTTAGGAAGGATATCAGCTGGATTCTACTAATCTTGGAACAACATGTCTGCAAAATTCGAAAGTTATGGAAAATCTAGATCGGAAAGTTTCTCATCTGCAAGATCAAGAAAAACGTGAACTTAAACAATTGTTGTCTTAATATTAGACCTTGTTTCCAGACGTGCTTACAAGGACAAACACAATTTTTCACGACGTTGAAATAGTAAATTCGAAACCCATGAAACAACACCCATACAGGATGAATCCTTTGAAACAGCAATATATGAAAAAAGAGACTCAGTATTTACTGGACAATGATTTTATAGAGCCCAGTAAGAGTGATTTGGAGTTCACTGTGCATTCTTCTTCCGAAGCAAGTTAAAACTTTCCGAATGTGTACGGATTATAAGAAGGTGAATAGTGTGAGAAAAACAGACTCGTTTCGACTGCCAAGAATCGACGATTGTATCGACAAAATTAGAAATGCCAAATACGTCACCAAATTCGACCTTATGAAGGGATTTTGGCAAATTCTCCTAACGGAAAGAGCAAGAAACATTCGGCATTTGTGACTCCAGATGGACTCTACCATTACAAAGTGGTGCCTTTTGGGATGAAGGATATTCCGAGCACTTTTCAACGCCTTATGAATATGATTACTTCTGCTCTAGACAACCGTGATGCATGAATTGATGATGTTATCATTTATAACAACCCTGGAAAAAACATCTAACTACGATTCAGAAGTTCTTCGACAGACTCACGGATGCAAATCTGACTATTAAATTATCTAAAAGTGATTTCTGCCATGCATGTGTTACCTTTCTAAGACATATTGTGGCAAATTATCAGATTAAAACTATAGATGGTAAGTTCAAGGCTATTTCAAAATTTCCAGTGCCTGTCAATAGAAAACTGCTGATTTTTAGGTATGAATTGGTACTATCGCAAATTTTGTTCTAATTTTTCTGATGTAGTTGAACCTCTGACAATCTTGTTGAGAAAGAAAAACAAGTTTCTTTGGACTGAAACATGTCAAGAGGCTTTCGATAGATTTCAGTCAGCCGTTCAAACTATCTGTAGATGCGAGTGATGTAGGGGTTGGATCAGTTTTGCTTCAAGAAGACCAAAATGGTGTTGAACACCCAGAGTGTTAGTTCTCTAAGAAATTGATTAAACACCAGATTAACTACTCAACAATCGAGCAGGAGTGTTTGGCTTTAATACTGGCATTATAGCATTTCGAAGCTTATATTAGCTCAGCTCCTTCTCCGGTTGTTGTGTTTAGTGACCACAACCCCTCACTTTCATCGGCAGAATAAAAAATAAAAATCCGAGGCTGTTGAGATGGAGATTTTTTTTTACAAGAATACAATCTTGATATCAGGTACATAAAAGGAAAGGAAAATTTGATTGCAGATACTTTTTCCTGTGCGTAGAAATATCATTTTTTAAAATAAATTCATAAGAGTTTTTATAAGAAAGAAAGTTTTATTACATAAATCTTTCTTTTTTTTATGGTAGAAGGTGTTACGAGTCTGTAATTTAAGTGTATGTAAGTTAAGGAATGAATAATGTATAAATCTTTTCTATTTCATTTTAGTTCATTAAATGTAATTATTATGATTATATTAATATCAGTCTAATATGTTGTTGCCAAACATCGTGTTTACTTGAGTCGTAAATGTGACTCATGTGAGCACGTGCTGTGTATAATGGCAAATTCATTACAAGTAAATATTCAGGAATAGTTATGAAAACCCTTGGCTGATACTTGGTCAGACTTTCCTAATGTCCAGATGTATTACGAAATTGCATGCCCCCTCTGTGTGCGTGTAATTCAAACAACGTATTAGCTTTGTTTATATACTGATGCATTTTGTAAGACGTTCAGAGTCATACACAGTCGTAATCGTAAAGTCAGTTTATTGTAACATCTTAGATTTACATAACTTCTATTACCTTAAAAAAAAGTATTGTTGTGCTAGAAGTTGTCTGCTCGTATGTCTACGTAGAACAACGTGTCTTGTTAAAGGAGCTAATTTTACTTCGTTTACCTGAATAATTGTTTTCCTGCAGAACAACATTACTGATTTGGACAAAGACATTTTCCGAAAAATATTCTAAATTGGAACGGGACAACACAAACCGTGCTTTATTGTGTATATTCTGGAATTCTCTGTTAGCATTCATCTGACGTGGTCATCTGCCAATTTGGACCGGAATTTAACGTCAGACTGTGTTTAGAAATTTTTAGAGGACTTATGTTTTTATTTTGAGCAAACAATTTGGATCGTTTCTATAAATCGTAAGTTTTTCTTAAATATTATTTTTGTAAAATTTACAAAGCTTGTTTTCTTCACTAATTTTTTTGTGTTTTTTGTATATATATATATATATATATATATATATATATATATATATATATATATATATATATATATATATATATATATATATATATATATGTGTGTGTGTGTGTGTGTGTGTGTGTGTGCCTTACGACTCTAGAAACTAAGTGAAACATTAAGTTAGTTTACAGTATTATGAATCAAATCTCAGATATTCTCAAAGGTCCTATCACAAGTCAAATGGATAAAGTTCCAATTGTTTTCCAGTGTTGATCCAAATAAATTCTAATAGTGAATGTGTTGATATGTCTGGGGTTTAAGTGTGCTAATATGTCAATGCCCTGGAATGTGATGATGTGTTACTAGTCTTTTACTAATGTTACTAGTCATTAGATATATCAAAATAATATAATCCAAAATGTCCTTTTCTAAATTCTTTTAATTCGAAATTAATGTTTTAGTCCAATGATATTCTTGAGCAGTTCATAATTCAAGTAAATAATAATTTAAATAAATAAATCCAGACAAATTAAAAAGTGAAAACAACAATAATATTGACCGCTCACGTGGCTTAAGTGGTTAAAGCGTCCGTCTCGGATTCATGAGGTTACGGGTTCGAGCCCTTGTCGGGTCATACCAGAGAATTATAAAAATGACACTAACTGTTGCCTGGCTAGGCGTTCAGAGTTTAGAGATTACTGTTAGAACTGGATGGTTTGATGTGAGGAAAATTTGACTGAGTGGCACTAATAGAATCTATGTTGGGGTTTGGACTGAGACAAGTAAATCCCAGTCGTGGGGTTATATTATTTGCCTCCCTAGGCAAATAATGTTACCCCGCGACAAGGTTTCCTTCGTTTAGGTATCAAAATTAACAGAGATCACTTTTCTCACGCATTTGTTTTTAAGCTAAATTAAAATAACTCTGCCCCTTTGCAATTTAGTTAGCTGACTTAAAACACAGTCTTAGTTAGGTACTATTATTGCTTCTCACTGTATATAAAGGTCATCAAGTTCTCTTTTATGAAAAACTGAATAACGAATGAAGTGGAATCTCAATATATATTCCGATCTTAGAAAAGAAAAAACAAAACAACGAAAAAGTTATATTTGTCAGATGTTACAAGTATTGCGCAATGAACATCGATACCCACCAGCTTTTTTATCATGTGAATGTTAATGTCCATGGAGTGACCTTTCGACCCTAAGTACACAAGTTCTACGGATGAAAAAAAAATAGACAAATAATATCATTTGATGATATTACAGTATTATCACATTTAATCAATGGATGCTATATGAAATTCACAATAAATAGTTAATGTTATACTTTTAGTTTTAACTTCCATCATTTCTAATTTGGATAATGTTTTATAGTAGGCAACAGTATCATACTGTGCAATATATAATGCATACTTGGTACAGTTCTAATTAAATGGGTAGCGACATCAGGAAATTCTCATTCATGGCTTTCTTCATATTTTCCGTCATGGAAAAGATGGCAAGAGTTGCTATCACTTGTATAATGATACACTACATGGATGTGTTACTCTAGTTGGTAAGTGCACGAGTTTTCATTTGCAATCGCATTAATATATTTGATTCGACAGGAGTTGATTAAGGGAATACGACAAAGTTTAGAAGAAATCAGTTTTAAATAAACATTTATGGTTTATTCTGGCTTTGCAGTTGCACTTGTGAGAGATTGGTTTTGTGTGGCCAGTGATATGCATTGCCTGCGTAAATAGAACTCTATCAAATAGCTCGTGTTCGTGCGTGTTTGTGTGTGTATGTGTGTGTGTGTGTGTGTGTGTGTTGCTGCTTTATTCGTGAACTTATTTTCGCTATATACCTGTTGATGAATTTTATAACAAATGTGTCATGTATCAACGGTTTCCTTTTAAAATTAGTTCTTAGCGACTGGACACCGTGGCTGAAATAACATGATTGAGATACGAGCATGTTAGGAAAATGGGTAGATTTCTGTCGCATGGATGGGAAATGATGCTAAATGTCAGCGGCATGATGCTCCAGTGCAAGACATCACATAAACGCTGCAGACTGAGATGACTGAAAAATTGTTAAAGTTACAAATCAAATTTTACAGTAAGACTGATTCTGATACTAAGGCATGAAAGAATGATTCCCATGTAAGTAAGATCATATATCCAAAATTGTATAGTAAACCGCCAGATGGATACTAACTCGCCAGACGGATGCTAACTCGCTAGATGGGTATTAAGTCGACAGACGGATACTAACTCGCCAGATGAATAGTAAGTCGCCAGATAGCATAATAGCTTATTTAACGACCAAGACGCTGATGTCTTTGTAAAGAGTATTTTTAAATAGCATGTTGAAGCAAACAAGTAATAAGGTAATAATTAAATTGATTATAATGTGTGTGCCTCAGGCTATTGCAACTTTGCATTATGAATAGGATTGTGAACAATCCTTATAAGCTACTTAGTGCAAAGTCAGTTTCAAGGGTTTCAACACGTTCGAATTCGTTTTCGCACTCACTCCAAATAATTCCACGTATTCTGTTCTTTATGGAGAGAGAGAGAGAGAGAGAGAGAGAGAGAGAGAGAGAGAGAGAGAGAGAGAGAGAGAGAGAGAGAGAGAGAGAGAGAGAGAGAGATTAAATTGGACAATTTACGAATTGTCCGATTTCGCCGTTTGGTAATTATTGTCTGGCAGAAGCAAAGTAAGGGAAATAAATGTTTGCGCCCATGAATTGCATCACAGATTTATTTCCCTTCGAACGATTTCTACACCATAAAACCAGACTGTCTCCAAGCGTTTTTGGTTGGTTGGTTATAGTTGCTGTCCTGAGGATTGTGCAGTAGATATGTAGTAACAAGTTATAACCCAGAAAAAGCTACATAATGAACTAATCTATGTTTTGTCTATACAAATTAATGAACGGTTGGATTTTTAGAATTTACGGGCTGAAATATCAGTTACTAAAATAATAACTGTTAAAACAAAAGGCTCGTTGATTGTTCCTTTTTTATATCAAATTACTTACTGCTTTCCTTCAGTTGTGCATCATCTTTATTATATACAAATAAAATAATGATTTATGGTAATTTGTTAGTGTCACCGTACATTTGCCTTGTATATTTACCAGTCATTACAAAATATTCTTATCATATTTCATGAATCGAAATCATGGCAAATCGAATACTTTAGATTAATTACAATAAAAACTGATAGTATATATATATATTTTTTACAGAATGATTCCCTTAATGTAACCGTTATTTTGTATGCTATCATTGCGTTATTGAACTCACGGCATTAAGAAATTCCAATTAACGTCTTATCATGACTGGTCATTAACAAGCCGTTTAGCCTGTTAATATATATTTAATCATTGGTAATAGGGTGGTTTGTTATACTTGTCAGATTGTTGAATTTCTAGGTTGTTCGATAATAGTTACCATTGTTATTAATTTCTTCCCGGGAAGAAAGAGTTTAATTACAAACAATCATCCACCACGTCTGGTTTTGGCATGTTCAAAAATAACCGGCAAAGAGATTTTGTACTGGCATTTGCAGAACGGGCTGTTAAAGAGGTCTGGATCCCAAATCTTTTGCATTACTCCTTATCTTTCAAAAGAAAGCGCCATGATTATATTAACATTTTTGAGAAGAACAGAACGCAGAACAGTAAGATGTCATTATTAAAATGAAGATGCAAAACGTTTAGAAAGTCTATCAATCTGTTTCAGTCTATTTGCTTTGTCGAATTATATATTTTGCAGTCATCCTGACTGTACGATAAATTAAGCTTGCCGCTGTTGCAACTACAAACTTTTGAGAATTTGTTGTTTTCTTTACTAAAAAAAACTGGTATTGATCCGCTGCACTGTATCTGTATTGATATTTTGCGGTGATAAGACAGAATAGTGCCATCTTGCTGATTTCTAATAGATGGGTGCCATGTGAATATTTTTAAGAAAAACTAAAAACAATGAACTGCCCATGAACGCTCGTTGCTCGTCGTATTAGCAATGATGAGTATGACAATATAAGAAAAAATATATTGTCAACAAGATCATTGTGTGACCGGATTAAAATTTCCAAAGAAATCGCCCATTTATCTGTGCCGGTAAGCTAAATATGTAAAACATAAAATTCCTGTACCGCGCTACTATAAAGATTTTTTAAATAAAGCGCTATTCCTTACATACTGGTTTTACTTTGTTTGAACTTTCTAACTTATTTTCCCAATTTCTGCTCATTTAACGAAATCGCCATTGCGACATCACATACGAGATATCTTTTCTAGTGTCTTCAGTCTGGTGTCGTAAGGAAGGATTCCATTGCAAACAAAAAATTAGTAGAATGTATGTATGTATGTATGTATGTATGTATGTATGTATGTATGTATGTATGTATGTATGTATGTATGTATGTATGTATGTATGTATGTATGTATGTATGTATGTATGTATGTATGTATGTATGTATGTATGTATGTATGTATGTATGTATGTATGCATGCATACATACATGAACGGATGGATCTATGAACGGATTTCATGTGTGTATGTGTTTGTGGGGGTGGGGGTGTAAGCATGTTGAAATGAACAGTTGTAACCAGAAATAAATGCTCCACATTCAAACCCTGAAAATATTTGATTTTCGTAATTTTGATTTTCTACCATTTTCCGCATGTGATTTTCTTAACAACATATATCATATTTGCAAACTGACCCTAACAAAAATATGTTATGTGCTCGAAGCATTTTGTTTTGTCAAATATATGACAGATCTGAATGACTTTTCTCTTTATTTCGACAGTATAGAAAACAAGACTGTCCCCTAAAACTACTTCATATGACGAAATAAAAATACAAAACATTTCGAAAATGTCCTAAATGAAAGGTTCAAAATATCAGAAAATTAATCACTGATATGCAAATTATAAGTTTTGCTCAGCATCACCAATTATTCGATTATCGTATTTATTATTACCTTTGTTATAGTTCATAAAGGAAGAAGAATACGAAATTTCAACCGGAATTCCAAACGAAATGACCATGTATTTAAAAAGTTAGGTACATTATCTTCGAATGTAAGTTAGAAACATCTTGTATAATTCATCAGAAGATGCTTTACAATTATTTTTAGCGTAATCCTGATATAATGCATACATGATCATATTCATGTTTGTAAGGTCCTTAAAATCTTGGATCATTAAAAGTTTAAACGAAATGCGATGATTTTCTAATTCTTAGTCAAAAAAGCCTGATAGTAGAATCAAAGTTCGCTGATGAGACTCAACGTTTAATTCTTTAACAGAGAACCCAAGAGGACAACAATGTACCGAATCCATGGGGTATTAATTCAGCATAATTCGTCTTAAATGAAGAGCTTCTTTTTAGTTCATCCCACAGCGATTTCACAACATCAGAACAATGTCATGCAGAGATGGAAGAAGATTAGTTACATTTGCTAAAGTACAGTTATCTTCCCTTGCACAGAAACCAGCGGGGTGCCTGAATATCTTCTTGGATGAATACCGATTATAAAACATCTTTCACAACTCCGTTCAAGAAGGACCATGGGTGGTTAGATACTATCCTCTCATCAAATCTCCTCGATGTTTAATCTGATGACAATA